ACATCTAAACCATCGAAGAATTAACCCTTAAAAATCACCCCAATCGGCGAACAACTTTCCCTCAAAAGCAACCGAAAGCACAACGAAATAAAACGTAGGTCGCAAACGATACACCATTCCACTGCGAAAGAAACTGAAGAGACTAGTTGAGAGGGGAAGGGAGAGAATAGAAGAAGAAGAAGGAGGTCGAGAAGGCAAAACGGAGGGCAAGTTTCAGCAAGTTTCTCCCCAAGTGCCGATACTCCTTAATCACGCTCTCGCGTTTCCCCTCTCTCTCTCTGTCTCTCTCTCTTTCTCTCTTTCTCTCTCTCTCAATGTTTGGTACAACGACGAGCAACCAACCAGCATCTTCCTCGAAATACGTCCAAGACCTGGGGGAGAGCCGATTCTTCGTAGATACCAAAGTATCTACTTGCCAGAGACGCGGTTAATCTTCGGTCGGGAGTCCTGGCCCTCATATAGCTCGATATTGTTTAACTTGCCTCGTTATCGCTAGATGCACTCTATGGCCATCTCTCCAGGGGTAGGAAGATAGCGTGCACCTTCGAACGTCGTCCCTCCTCATCCTCCCACCACCTGCGCGACAACCACCCCGTGGCGCGTTCTCCCCTCGCGTCCCGTCGCCACCTTCCTCCCTCCTTCCCACCGCCCGAGTTGCCAAAGGGGGTTGGGCGCGCCTGGAAGGGAGCTGCATCCAGCTGATAACACCTCCTGAACTGATAACGAGCCGGCCAGGCTCTCTCTCTCCTCTCTCGGTCCTACGTATCCACTCCCGAGCCCCTCAAGGCCTCCCCTTCTTGACTCTCCGTGGCTGCTTCCACGACGTCGCGAATTCCCTGCGAGCCTCTCACTTCCTGGCTCCTTCCTGCCTTCGTCCGAATACCACCGAGCAGCAGCCCGTCGTTGCAACAGCGTTGGCCGCGAAAATTCCTCCTCTTTGCTCGCACCACCAGGAATGGCTGTACCAAACACGGAGTCTCCGAACGATGTTTAAAGAGAAACGGTACAGGTGGACTCGGGCGATAAGAATCGTCATTCGGACTGTTTTCTTAAGATTATTGGAGCACTTTTTTTTAAAGATTACTCGGGATTATTCGGCTATGTTTTTTTTTTAATTCCGAACGCAGTCTGTAACGTTGTAAGTTTGCTGTGTTCTTCAGGTTCTTAGCGAAATCCTTTTCTTTTCTTCTTTCGTTGTTAACTGCCGTCGTTGACCGAGTTTTATAGTTATGATACTTTCTGGTATCAAGAGATTTAGAAAAATGGAAGAGTTGAAGTTAAAAATTAAAAACCTAGGTGATTAAAGTAAGATGAGTTCTATGAATTGCTAAAAAATTTTCAACAACGCGGAAAATTAAATGTTACAGCATAACTAGTCATTCCTAAAGGAAATTATATGAAATTCGGTGAACGCGTTAAGGGATTCTTCAAGAATTGAGTACGATATAGAAATTTTCTCGTTTATAAGATTTATAATTCATAATTCGCCTCTATTTCCGTATTTTCAACTTAAATTAAATTAAATTACAAAAAACCGTGTCTCATTTGTTCCACTTCCTCTACGAGTTCCCTAATTGCAGTTATACGATGCAAAATACTTATAATGAGATTGTATATTTCAGTATGCAGATATTTATCATTAGTTTAACAAGTATATTATATTAAACTATTTATATTAAACTAATACCAGTTTAAACATAGATTTCATTAGTTTGACTCTTTACGGTCCTGCATCATTCTTCTTTGTTGGAATACACAATCAAAGACAACCTAAACCTAACCCAAGAAAAAACGACGACAAAATCAGTAAAAAGAAAAAAAGAAAATAACAATTCCACAATCGAGCATGATATCGTTTAATTCCAAAAATCTATAGAAATGGGTGAATAGCGTCGGTTATTCCCAGGTTGGAATAATCCGCGTGAAAGCTGACGAGTCACGCGAAATTCTTATCTGTCGATTAAGAAAGTTTTTCAGCCGCGCGTGGTCGCGGTCTAATCGCGTCGACTTTGTCGTTCGCGAAGAAGGGGGGGGGGGGGAAGGTGCGTTAAGGAAAAGGGCAATGGAAAAATGTCAGGGTGGAGACGCGAGCGTCTGGACGCCTGCGAGAGTTGCTTCTCCGACGTCGACGACGATAAGGGGAAGGCGACACGCCCGATATCTGGGCCCTTGCACAATACATCCGTTGTGCATCCAGCTCGCGTGCGAGATTTTGAATAAACGGACCACGGGATACCTCCGTTCCTCTCCCTCCTCCTTGAGAAAATTATTTTCGCGGAGAGAAGAGGATTCAACCCCTTTGATATTTTCGGGTTGGCAACAGTAATTGTTAAAACAATAATAAATTCGTATTTCTGTGAAAACAACTATAATATAGTATTATAATAATATTAGTATAACTATAGTATAGTATTATAATAATGTATAATATTTTTATAATTATAAATATTTTTACTATATATTTTTTACTATATATTTAAATATTATTTAGTATATCTACAGTACTCGTACTATTAAATGTTATATAATATAATATTATAAAGTGTAATATTATATAGTACAATATTACAAAGTGTAATATTATATAGTACAATATTATAAAATGTAATATTATATAGTACAATATTATAAAGTGTAATATTATAAAGTATAATATTATAAAGTGTAATATTATATAGTAAAATATTATAATGTATAATATTATATAATACAATATTAGAAAATATAATATTATATAGTACAATATTATAAAGTGTAATATTATGTAGTACAATATTATAAAGTATAATATTATATAATATAATATTATAAAGTATAATATTATATAGTACAATATTATATAGTATAACATTATAAAGTACAATATTATATAGTATAATATTATAAAGTATAATGTTATATAGTATAATATTATAATACTATATAATATTTTTATAATATTGTAGTTATATTTTTATAATACTATAGTTGAATGTTTGTATAATGCTATTTTGTATATTTCTGTATGTTCAGTTTCGTATGCTGTACGTTTGAATTTTTTACAGATACACAAAGTTGTATTAAAATGTAACAACTAACTCGTAATATATCGTCTAAAAGCGGTTATCTTTCTAACTTCTTCGGTGAACTTAAAAGAAAACTTAAACATCGTCTTGTAACCTTGTAACCATTAAAACAATTGACATACACTTAGTACAAAGTAATTAATACAAAAAAATTGCAGTATAAATTGATACGTTCCACAGTGTTGTCGCAGATTCGAAAGATCGTACGATGCATCAAAAATTACCAGTTATCCTTACCATCAACACTGAATGGCGTCCTCATCAGATGTTCCCGTCGCCTGAACCTGCTCACTTTTCCTAAACTCCGAAATAAAAAGAGAAAAAAATAGAAGAACAGAGGGGAAGAAAAAAAAAAGAAAGGGACGAGAGAATAAAAAGAAAAGTGAAGAAGAGCGTCGAGATAGAAAGTTGAAATCTGCTCACGGACACGTCCCGCGATAAAACTTATCGATCCGATAGGAAACGAGGAGACGAAGGCGATGGATGCTTCGTGACCGTGCCGGGTCCAACAAAGAGAATCGCACGGCTTCGTGGAATTTTCATGCCGCGTCCTGAAATATCCGCGACGCGACGCGACGCCGGGAGGAGTGAGGGGGTGGCAATTGCCAGGCGATTACCCGTATCTCTGGTCGAAATAAAAATTTCATTCCTCGACGGAATGCATTATCGTAGGGAACTGATGGACGAACGTCTCCGGTTCGATGATTCATCGCCGGGCTATTTCTCGCTTCCACGCCAGCGATATAATATAATGTAACATATATGTATTGTACACGTCTCACGAGAGACGATTAGAAAATCATTCTCTCGAGATTCCCTGCTGCAACAACGAAGATATCGACGCGATACGGTCGTTCTATTTTCGGTGCCTTGGTGACCTTGGATTATCCGCGCGTTCCGCGGTTCCGTGTTCGCATCCGCGGGCGCAATTTATCACGAATGAACGTCACGCCGCGCCAACTTTGATAGCCGCCGGTCTATCGTCGCCCCGTTAAGAAGCACAGTTCCAGAGGGAACCGATTGATTTTTCGGCGACGAATTTTTTGGGTCAACATCCTCGGAGGTTCGAGCGTTCTACCGATAGGTAGAATTTTGTTTTCCGCTTGGGAATGTTCCGCTGCGCTTATCGGGAGGAATGACTCGGAAACTTTTTCAATGAATGGTTTTTGTTTTCCTTTTAAGAAGACGGCACGGGACATTGAGAATATCGCTTCCTTGTTAACCTACTTTGAAGAAGAGGGAATCAGTTTCGTTTCGCGTTGGGTCTTTGAATCGTTCGTTCTTAGATTGTCGATATTTGTTCCTGGTTCATAATCATAATTCGTTGTCTCTTTGAAAAATTTTCGAGATAAATCCCAGCGTTGCAAATCTGTTCGAAATCGACGGGAAGTTATCGAAGATACGTAAATTAATGATGGGACCAGCGTAACAACGTTGCATTTTCTCCGTGTAATCATTCAATTTCGCGAACATTCACCCACCCGATGCGCACTTGAGGAAGAACGCGTATCACGTTCGCGGCTGCCATAAACCAGGAACAAGAAGGAACAATTAACGACGCGGCGGAGGGAAGGGAGGGCCCCGGTTCGATTCGATTCTCCATTAGACTGACGGATGAGCCTTGATTAGGCCTTCCCTGGATAACAAACGAGGCGACGCCTCTTGTGCCGGGAGAGGAAAGGCCTCGCGCCGAAAAAGGAAACGCAAGGAAGCGCGGCGAAAACGAGACAACGAGATGACGAACAGAAAAAGAGAGAGAGAGAGAGAGAGAGAGAGAGAGAGAGAGAAGAAAGAAAAAAGATGAAACGAAAAAGATTAAGGAGAGAAAAAGAAACGAAGAAGGAGGAAGGAAGACAAGAAGAATCGAAGAGGATTACACTTTCTCTTGGTATAAGGAAAAGAAAAAGGAGGGGATTATTTAAGACATAAAGCATAAGCAATAACGAAGCACGAGACTATCATCGACCTATCGGTAATAATTATTCTCGTTCTATCGTGGCGACTCGGAGAGAGAAAAGAGGGTGGACGCACGAGCGTGCAAGGGAGCAGAAAGAGGGGAGTATAAGTAAGTATAAGTGACTTTACCACACGGTCCTAAGATAATGCCGAGGGGCCACCTTCCAGGAATTAGTATTTATTGTGACGCGATTCAGATAGCGGTCACGGTACGCCCCTGGCGTACCTGGAGCCACCAGTCCCACGAATTATGGTTTTCAATATGATGACGGTTTCGTATCTGCCGACCGACCTCGCTCTCATCTCTCTCTCTCTCTCTCTCTCTCTCTTTCTCTCTGTTTTTCGTCTTCGTAGTTTGCTCCTCTTGCTCGTTTCGCAACATCCGCCTCTCTCTTCGGCAGACTTCGAGATATACTTCGTCCGCGGGCTCGTAAACCGTCGTAAAAGGCTTCGACGATTTTTGTCTCACCGTTGCTCGCACGCGTGGAAGGAGATCGCTCCTCACAGGACCTTGTCTTCTATTACTTCCACCCTCTCCGTCTTCTTCTCCACTTTCTTCGAAATTTTGCTCGGATCTTTCTTTTTTGGTTTAAAATAAAATTCTTAATGAGGTTATTGGTGTTTTTCTTTTTCGTGCAAAAAGGATTAGCGTCGAGGAGGGTTGAAGTTGACGGAGAGTGGTAGTTCTTGGGACGAATTCTTCTTTTCAAGTTTTATGGACGGGAGTGGCCATCGAGTCTTGTATTTTCTAAAAGAAATTGGAGCTTTTAATATAGATAGAATAGTATATACATCGTGTTCTCCGCGAATGGATTATTAGTGCAGAAAATTTCGTGCATAAATCACATGCATTGTGACGTTATGATGAAAATAATCGCGCTTTTATTTCAATAAAAGACAGAATTAATTTTGCCAGAAACTCTTTGTCGATTGTCAAAATTACAAATCTAAAAACTATCGTAACAGATATCTAACATAGAGAGCTTTAACAATTCTCAGTCCAATGGTTGTTTTGCAAACAACTTGAGTCACCTTTCAGTTACAGACAAAAAATTAATAATCGTCAAAAATTTAAAATATAAAAGAGAAAATAAATTTCTAATAATTATCGTTCCCATTAATAAAGCACTAGTTCCATCACTTTATCTCAAAGCTAAAGGAGAAAGATAATAAAAATCATCTCTAATAAATTTTTCAAAGGAAACGACGCTAAATTTTTGGCGAGAGAACGGATCGGTCGGTGGGTGGTAGATTTATCGAAATAATTCCAAAAGTCGTCGGTATCTTTTTCGAAAGGCGGGCGAGAGTGGCAGAGGGAAAAAGACAGATCGTAGCGAGCGAAGAGGGCGGGGAGGTGCTATCATCGGTACGTAAGCACGAAATATCGCGACATCGTAGTGGCTGTACGCTGTAAAAATATTTTAAGCTGCTCTCGAAGGCACGGTACAGCCCACGGGTCGGGGGTGGTTTAGTGGCACCGCCTGAAAAAGCACGATTACGTTTACGACTTCTCTCTCCGTCTGTCGGCTCACCCTCCGTATGCTTTTACCACCATGAACCACCGTGCAAGGGGGATGAATTCCGTCGCGTGCTCGACAAATTTTCAAACGGATCTCGAGCCCGAAAACATTTTAATTGCCAACTGGGTATGAATCATAAATTAACTGGCGTTGTATTAATATTAACGACATTTAGCAAGAATCTCGACTCTAATCCACGGATTATATGAATATTCACTTATGGAAAAAATTTAAGAAAAAGGGAAAGTTTCTTAGGCACTTGTATTAATAAACAAGATTATCAAGTAATCTACAAAATTATATGCAAAAATGTAATTGCTAACATGCTCGTGTTTGTACAGTCTGACGAACCTTTTAATTAACATCCTGTTTCTGTTTTCCTCTTTCTTAATTATAATGTGACAGATTATTTAATTTTTCAAGAGCCAAACGACCAGTCTCGATAGAATCTCGAAAAAAATTGGTTCCAATACCTCCATTTCCACCCTTCGAGCTTTAATAAAACGTCTCGATTCCTAAAGGAACAAATATCTCAATATACACACTTTGTGATCCATCTTCCACTATTTTCCCTAATCACAACTGCAAATCGGAGTCCGTCGCGATCTCACAGGCACAGGGAGCTTGTCGCGAGAAATTGGGCCAAGCGTTTGGTGCCGAAAGCAGGGCCTTATGAAGAAAAATGGCGACGCGACGCGGCGTCGAGAAAAAGAAGCAACATTGGTTACAACGAGACGGGGAACAGGACGAAGAAAGAGAGCTGAAGAGGTGGACGCGGGTGTTATTTTCGCGCAACCCATTCCCGCGACCTTATCTACCGTAAAAACTTTGACTTTAACCACCGGGGATCATAATCGAGCTTATCTCTCCGCCGATCCCATCCCCCACACGTTCACCCTTCGTCCCGTCTCGTTCTAACTCATCGTCGTTGCACCGAAGGCTATCCGCCGCTTTTACTCTCTCGTCTATCGCTCCCCTTTCCTCCTGACGCGCTATCGTCGGATTTTATCGCGAAACTTTCGATTCGACTCGCAGAGACGGTGATCGCGAGAAGGGAGAGAGACGCGGAAAGAGAGTATTATTGCGCGCCACGCGGACCTCGAGAGTCGGACGATTGACGAAAGAAGGAAGCTGGTGGATATTCGAAATATTATGAAAGTAGATCGAGTTGAAGATTGATATATATATATATATATATATATATATATATTCTTCTTGAATATTTATCTTATTTTCACTACGATCTCTCCATGGGACGAATATATACAGATTAATAAAAATAGATCGATTGATGTATATATATTCTTCTTGAATATTTGTCTTATTTTCACTACGATCTCTCCATGGGACGAATATATACAGATTAATAAAAGTAGATCGATTGATGTATATATATTCTTCTTGAATATTTGTCTTATTTTCACTATATATACAGATTAATGAAAATAAGACAAATATTCAAGAAGAATATATATATATATATATATATATATATATATCAATATCAATCGATCTACTTTCTGTATATATTCGTCCCATGGAGAGATCGTAGTGAAAATAAGACAAATATTCAAGACGAATATATATTTTTCAGTCTATATTATATACAATATTTAATTTCGAAATCAAAAATCTGCCGACGTGAAGGAAAATGATAGTATAGCCAATTGTAAGTAAACGATCTGACATTTTTGATTGATGATTCATCTATTGTTTGAGGGGATATTCGAAAATATCGATTTGTCACAATATTTGATACACAATTAAACATCAATTAAATAAACATCTTTGAATGAACATTAATAATTCCCGATGCGAAGTGATAATAATTAAAAATTATTGGGTCATCCAATTTCCGACTTCCTATTTCGTTTACATTTTCTTACGTTACATTTTATATATATATATATTTTTTTTTTTTTTATCACATAGAGTGATGAATCTATTGAAACCACTTGATGAATTACAGTTCATTAAACTAGCCTGTTGCAAAAATTAATCCAATTGCCGAGATGTGTCTTGTAACTGAGAATGAAAATTCACCGCGGTGACAAAATGAAATATGTAACCATAACCATAACTGCTCGCGCTACTAGTTTTCGTAACTCGTTATTAACCAAAAAAAAAAAAATAAAAAATAAAATAAAATAAAATAAAATAAAACGGTCCAAGCGATATCTCGATATTTTTATTTCGCGGGCTGGAGTATCAATCGAGGCGCGAGGCGCGAGGTACGCCGGTAACTCACGGGAATACCGATAAACGACACAAAATTAACTTCCACTCTCGCCGGCTCCCTCGCGCCGACTTCCTCAGACACTCGATAAAAATCCATTTCCACGTATCTCCCCGTCTCCCTTCCCCGTCGATTTACGACTCTTTCACCCCCCTCTGTTCCCCTTTTCTCGAACGCAGGCATAACACCGTCGTCGAACGACGGCCCAATATCATCGAAATTGAGCGATTCCAGCGCGTTCTCTCCTCTCTCTCTCTCTCTCTCTCTCTCTCTCTCTCTCTCTCTCTCTCTCGCAGCACTGCCAACTTCCAACATCCCTCCCTGTCCTCTCTCACTCCTCCTTCCTCCTTTACTTTACTACCCCCGGCGACGAACGAACGTACGTGCCGATTCAGCAACGAATGTATCCGTGTGCATAATGCAACTTGCAACGCGGGTGTGTATAATTTTTACGAACGCTCATTTGCATGTCATTCCCCGTAAAGAGCGGTAAATCGACGCTTGAATAGGTGAATTTATGCCCGCGTGTTCCGATACTCGGTAGACACGATAGAGGAACGATACTGAGTGAAAACGGAGGGAAACTGTTTCGGAGGAATTGTGCATTTGATTTCCAAGCTATTTATATTTGGAAATTGTTATTAATTGATCTGCGACGTTGTTATTATTGTATTTAGAATTATTTCGAGTTTGATCGTTTATTCGTAAGAGCATTTCGCTAGAAATTAATATTGTGAAATAATACAAGAATTTTGTAATATGGAATTATTACGATGAACGTTTCAACGTTTAGGAAGTTGTAAATTATATGATTTTCAACCCTTTGTCATTTCTGTACATTTTACATTTACCATTCTGTAAGACTATTACAGATAACGAAATAACATCAGAATTTCGCAATATGAAATTACTTTAACAACCTCCTGGTCTTATTTTTATGACCATCCGGAACTTTCACCCTCCCCCGTTCCTCCATCATTTCTCTAAAACTATGTTTATGGTTTGTACACAGGTTCTTAGAACATTTTAGCGGCTGCTAAATGTGCGGTCTGGTTATACTGAGATATAACGGCGTGCTTAACTCCGGGCACGTATAAGTACGTGAGAGTTCGCCACGCGGGGGATTGTTCGTGGACACGATCGTAAATAACCCCCGTTCGACTTTTCGATACCTCACCGGTGACTTTACGACGATCTGGTCTGCGAAAATTTCTCACAAATTTCGTCTTTCGTCGTGAATTCTCGGAGCTTAGCACTCATCGTTCACGCGCGTTATCTTTAAATATCTTACGGTGGTGATACACGATCACCAGCAATTAGGTGAATGAAAATGTCGTCCGTAGAAAAAAAATA